ATCTTGGTAGCTATGATTTTGAGATTTCCGTTGATTTAGTAGTTTCAAACATTTTTTTATGATTTCTTTGATGATCTTAACCAAATAAATGTGAGTTGAATAATATATTTTAGGGAAGGGGTACAAAAGGGAAATTATCCTATTAAAATTCCTCCAAGATTTATAATTTAGTCTTTTTAGACAGTTGTTTAACCTTTAAATTCAATTGGACGGTATGTTCAAATGAAGTTTACACTTTAAAATATATCAGTGAAACAACATAAGTTAATCTGTTTGAATGTGTTGTTTTGCTTATTCTCAGTGAGTTGCTGCCATGTTTTTAATGTTAATTTTGTTTCAACTATTTTTGTTTTTGTGTTAAATATCTGATCAGCAATGCCTCCTGAAAGCTTAATAAAAACTAAAATAAATATTTCTCGCCTGAGAACTTCATTATCTGGAAAATAAAATGTACTTTGATGATGAGTCTATTATTGAAATCACAATAAAAAAAACATAGCTGAGAATGAAATCCATGCAGTTCATCATTGCTTTATTTTTTTTTCTCAAATATCAGTCCTTTAGAAGATGTTATACGTATTGTCAGTGATTGGAGTAACGGCGTTGAAAGTAACAGCATTACTAACGGCGTTACCTTTTTTTAGTAACGAATAATCTAACTAATTACTTTTACTGTATCTATAACGCAGTTACCATTGCCGACACCCCGTTACTGCACGTTACTCAGGTCCCACAATTAACCTTTTTTTCATGATAGGACTCGTGCGCGCCTTGTCATGAGAGAGGGGAGGATGAGATTGGCTGATGTATAGTGAGATTGCGTCTGTCAGTTGGGTAGGTGGGTGTTTCTGCTGGCGGGTGTTAACGTACAGCACACACAGAGAGATGGAGAGTGAGGATGACTCCAGCAGCAAAACAGCGTTTTCCACATGGAAATACCGGTGTTACGTCGAGCTGCGTTTCCCCTGCATCTCTGCACAGCGCAGGCGGCACGATTCACCGTGCAAGCAACGCGCATGCTCGCTAAAGGCGCGCAACAGTCGCCCTGTGCTCGCATAGGGGAACTACGGAGAGCGCGAACGATCAAATGTTAGCCTATATGGAGAAAGGGAGAAATCGGGATGGATGGATGGATGGATGGATGGATGGATGGATGGATGGATGGATGGATGGATGGATGGATGGATGGATGGATGGATGGATGGAT